CCTATATGGGATCCGAACCCGTGGCCTTGGTGTTATCAGCACCGCACTCTACCGAGTGAGCCACGGGCCGGCCCAGTTAGCTAGTATTTTATTGAGGATTTTTGCATCAATATTCATCAAAGATATTGGCCTGTAGTTTTCTATTTTTGATGTATCTTTGTCTGGTTTTGGTATCAGGGTAATGTTTGCCTCATAGAATGAATTTGGGAGAATGGTCTCTGTTTCAATCTTTTGAAACAGTTTGTAGAGAATTGGTATCAGTTCCTCTTTGAAGATTTGGTAGAACTCTGCAGTGAACCCACCCAGTCCTGTGCTTTTCTTTGTTGGGAGCCTTCTGAAAAAAGCTTCAGTCTCTTTTATTGTTATTGATCTGTTCAGATATTCTATATCTTCTTGGTTCAGTTTTGGTAATTTGTATGCATCCAGAAATTTATCCATTTCCTCCAGATTTTCAAATTTGTTGGCATATAGATGTTTATAGTAGTCTCAAATGATTCCTTGTATTTCTGAGGTGTCAGTTGTGATATCGCCTTTTTCATTTCTAATTTTTGTTATTTGGGTCTTCTCCTTTTCTTAGCTAATCTTGCTAAAGGTTTGTTGATTTTATTTATCTTTTCAAAAAACCAACTTTTTGTTTCATTGATCTTTTGTATTGTTTTTCGAGATATAGCTTTCACAGTATCCCACAGGTTTTGGTATGATGTGTCATTATTTTCATTAGTTTCAAGAAATTTTTTGATTTCCTGTTTAATTTCTTCTTGGGCCCACATGTCATTAAGTAGAATGTTGTTTAATTTCCATGTGTTTGTATAGTTTTCAGAGTTTCGTTTATTATTGATTTCTAATTTTAACCCAATGTGATCAGAAAAAAATACATGGAATAATTCCAATTTTTTTGAATTTGTTAAGACTTGCTTTGTGACCTAACATGTGGATTATCCTGGAGAATGTTCCATGTGCTGATGAGAAGAATGACGTTGTTGGATGGAGTGTTCTGTAGATATCTGCAAAGTCCAATTGGTTTAAAGTATTGTTTAGATCTTGTGGTTCTCTGCTTATTTTTGCCTAGATGATCTGTCCAATATTGAGAGTGGGGTGTTCTGATCCCCTGCTATTATGGTATTAGTGTCTATCTCATTCTTTAGGTCTATAGTGTTTGCTTTGTAAATCTGGCTGCTTTGATGTTGGGTGTGTATATATTTATGATTGTTACGTCTTCTAGTTGAATAAATCCTTTTATCATTATATAATGGCCTTCTTTATCTCTTTTTATGGTTTTTGGTTTAAAGTCTATTTTATCTGATATAAGAATAGCTACTCCTCAGGCCAGCCCGTGGCTCACTCGGTAGAGTGCGGTGCTGATAACACCAAGGCCACGGGTTCGGATCCTATATAGGGATGGCCAGTTTGCTCACTAGCTGAGCGTGGTGCTGACAACACCAAGCCAAGGGTTGAGATCCCCTTACCAGTCATCTTTTAAAAAAAAAAAAAAAAGAATAGCTACTCCAGCTCGTTTTTCATTTCTGTTTTCATGATATATCTTTTTCCATCCTTTCACTCTTAGTCTATGTGTGTCTTTACAGGTCAAGTGAGTCTCTTGAAGACAGCATATTGTTGGGTCCATCGTTTTAATCCAGTCAGTCAGTCTGTGTCTTTTGAGTGGAGAATTTAATCCCTTTACATTTAGAGTTATTATTGAAAGGTGTTGATTTACTCCTAGCATTTTACTGATTTTTGTTTAGATGTCTTAAGTATCTTTTGTTCCTTTCTTTCTAATTTTCTGTTTGTCTTCTGTATTTGTTGGTTTCTTTGGCTGATAAACTATTTTTTTCTCTTTTGTTAGCATTTTTGTTTTGCTGGTAGGTATTGTTCTTTCTTGCATATTCATGGCAGTGATGATTGCTTTTGTGGTATCAAACCCAGTACTTCCTTGAGAATTTCTTGTAGGGCTGGTCGTATGGTAGTGAACTCCCACAGTTTTTATTTTTCTGAGAAATATACTATTTGTCCTTTATTTCAGAAGGATAGCCCTGCTGGGTAAAGTATTCTTGGCTGGCAATTTTTGTCCTTTAGTGTTGTGAATATATCACCCCATTCTTTTCTGGCTTTTAGGGTTTCTGATGAAAAGTCTGATGTTATTCTGATTGGGGCTCCCTTTTAGGTGACTTGCTGCTTCTCTCTTGCAGCTTTTAAGATTCTCTCTTTGTCTTTGAGTTTTGTCAGTTTGATTATCTCATGTCTTGGAGAGGACCTTTTTGGGTTGAATATGTTTGGTGATCTTTGGACTTTCTGAATCTGGAGATCTGTGACTTTCCCTATACCTGGGAAGTTTTCTGCTATTATTTCATTGAATATGTTTTCAATACCACTTCCTTTTTACTCCCCTTCTGAAATACCCATGATTTGGATATTTGAGCACTTAAGGTTGTCAGTTATCTCTCTTAGATTCTCTTCAATTTTTTTGATTCTTTTTTCTTTTATTTGGTCTACCTGTGATAATTCAAACAGCCTGTCTACAAGGTCAGAAATTCTCTCTTCTGCTTGTTCAAGTCTGCTGGTTAAACTCTCTGTTGTGCTTTTTATTTCACTGAATGAATTCTTCAGCTCTACAATCTCAGTTACATTCTTTTTCCAGGCATTGATTTCTTTGTACATTTCTTCTTTCAGATCCTGTGTATTTTTTCTCATTTCATTGTGTTGTTTAACGGAGTTTTCTTGTATCTCATCTAGTTTCCTTGCAATAGTTACTCTAAATTCCTTGTCTGTCATTTCAAAGACTTCCTATTCTATAGGATCTAGTGCTTGAGAGTTATTAATTTCCTTTGGTGGTGATGTACTTTCTTGATTTTTCATATTGCTGGTATCTTTCCTTTGGTGTTTTGTTATTGTGGCCAGGGGTATCATAGTCCACTCATTTCACCCTGATGTCTGGCTTGGATCCTGAAGGGACTGCTGCTTCTGGGCAGCAGAAACTAGCCTGGGCCAGAAGTCCCGCTCGGCCTGCCTTCTCTGGATGGGCTGGCTCAAGGTGTGGGAGGCTTGAGGTTAAGTCTGTCCCAGTGGCAGGACAGCCTGGGCCAGAAGTCCAGCCCCACCTGCCTTCTCTGGCTCAGCTGGCTCGGGGTGTGGAGGCTCAGAGCCTGTCAAGTCACTCTCAGAGGTGGGGATGGACTGACTGGGCCAAAAGTCCCACCCTGCCTGCCTTCTCTGGCCTGGCAGGCTTGAGGTGTGTGGGCCCAGAAGCTCTAAAGTCTCTCTACAGAATGGGGAGCAACCTGATCTGGCATCCCACAGCAGGTGGCTCCCATCTGCTCCAATGCAGATCTCAGGTCCTCTGTTGCTGCTCCTCAATAGATGCAAATTGTTTGCTCTGTGGGAGACAGCGACACCAGGAACTGACTACTCCGCCATCTTGACCGGAAACGACAAAGTTTATTTTATGAAGATATGTTAGAGGTCACATGGGTAGTGCTATTGATATTTAAAGAATACAGTAAAATAAAAAGTCTGAAAATTTTAAGATTCAAGATTTCAACCTGTGATTTCAAGATAGAAATATTCACGTTTTAATTATCATTTGTAGATATGATTTCATTAATTGGTTGTGGAAAAATGAAATTTATTGATTAATGTCACAGTAAGAAAACTCACAGATAGTGCCATAGTGAGCACGATTTATGCAAATTTATGTGTAGCAGTTTTAAACACACTTGTCAATGCACATAGGAGGAAAGATTTTATGGGGATTGATCACATCTCTTTGGCACTTTTCTTACTAATTTTCCCTTTCTTTGCTTTTTGTTAACAGTACAATCTTTTTGCACCTGAAATTCAATTTGATTTCCCCAAAACATCAGAAGTTGTGACTTTTGACACTCCCTTTGGGAAGTTTGGAATTTTCACTTGCTTTGACATTTTTTCTCATGACCCAGCTGTGGTGGTGGTGGACAAGTTTCAAGTCGACAGTGTTATCTACCCCACAGCGTGGTACAACACGCTGCCCCTTCTCTCGGCTGTTCCATTCCATTCTGCGTGGGCCAGAGCCATGGGAGTCAATCTGCTTGCTGCAAATACCCACAACACCAGCATGCACATGACAGGTAACTCATGCTGGTCATGCACCAGTTGGCAGTGACAGTCTGAGGTAGTCTTCATTGATTTTCAAGCCATATTTTCTTTAATGATTTTCTTATTAATGCTAATATCACAAAATTAATAGTAGCATGAGTTTCTGCTTAAGAAACATCATCCTTGTGAGCAAAGGAGGTGAAAGTTATTATCTCAGTTTTATATGAGGGGAAATTGGAGATAGAGAGAAGTCAAGTCACATAAAAATCAAAGCCAGATCTAAGGAACTTCTCCGCCAGCATCCATCAGTAATATTGAAGTATATCTTGCTGTTGAGATAAGAAAATCACTTCAGACTTAATCAGGTTTTCAGAGTTTATCCTTTATCATATCCATGTTCAAAGTAATGCAAGCTCCCCTCCTGACTGCTTTGTAAATCATTGATGCAGGTGAAGAGTCTCAAACACAAATAAATTCAGTAGGTCAGTGGAGAGCTAAAATTATTCTTCACGTTTGGAGAATTTTCTCATTTGTTGTTAAGTTGGCTTAAAAAAGATTAAAGTAAAAAAAAAAAAAAAAAGGAAGCCCTTCACATCTAATGATAATTTCAGTACAAACAATACTTTATGGAGGACATGGAGTCAAATCAGACCTTATAGCAATGTAACAGCTGTCTCCTAAACTATTTTGAAAATGCTTATGCTTTAATAACTTTAATTTCACACGGTAATAATTCTATTAGTTTGTCACCATAAAAAAGTTGAAACCAATGTTTGTGTTTCTTGTTGCCTGTAGGGAGTGGTATCTATGCCCCAGAAGCAGTCAAGGTATATCACTATGACATGGAAACAGAGAGTGGTCAGCTGATGCTCTCAGAATTGAAGTCTCAGCCTCGCCGTGAACCCACCTATCCTGCAGTTGTTGACTGGGGTGCATATGCTGAAAGTATTAAGCCATTCTCCTCTGAACAGTCACATTTTCCAGGGATGATTTATTTTGATGAGTTCACCTTCACTGAGCTTAAGAGAAACACAGGAAATTACACAGTGTGCCAGAAAGACCTGTGTTGTCACTTGACTTACAAGATGTCTGAGAAGCGAACAGATGAGGTCTATGCACTAGGTGCTTTTGATGGACTGCACACAGTAGAAGGCCAATATTACTTACAGGTAGAAATGCTTAAATGTGTTAGAATGATCTTATTATTAGTTTTTCTTTTAGGTCACCATTGCTTTTCTTTAAAAATTGTGTTGGATTCTGTTAATTGGTATAATGTTATGTTTATCATTGAATTCCTTGCCCCTCCCCACTTTATTTGTTCAGTCCCAGAAAGAACAGAATTAGTTCTCTTGGCTGCAAGGTAAAAATATAAAGCACTTTGGTTAACTTTCAGAAGGCCAGGTTCAAGTTTAAAAAGATGCAACTTCTGTGTATTCTCTTTTTTCATAAGGTTACTTTAAAGCAGTGTTTTTCAAACCATCTTCAACTGAAGTCCAGAGTAAGAAGGATATTTTACATCATAACAGTATACCTAAGTGGATGTGTGACTGAGTTATTTAACTGAAACAGTTTATGAAATAATTCAAATTAGAATTAGAAATAGCTACAATCATATGCAATGCATTCTGATTTTTTAAATTCTAGTCTATTCCATTTGGCTTTATTTTTTTAAAAAAGAGCAAATCCTGACCCACTAAATTGATTTTAGGAATCATTAATAAGTTGTAACCTGCAGTAGGAAAAGAAAGTTTGAGGGAACTTAAATATTCCTTTATTCTTTGCAATTGTATTATTTAGCCTAGTTTTCTGACTACTTCTCTTTTCTTTTCCTATGTAGGTGTGCACATTACTGAAGTGTCAAACCACTGACCTGACAACTTGTGGGCAGCCGGTGGGGTCAGCTTTTACCAAGTTTGAAGAATTCTCCCTCAGTGGCACGTTTGGAACCAGTTATGTTTTCCCACAGCTCATTCTAAGTGGGAGTCAGCTTGCCCCTGAAAGACATTATGAGGTAGGAGTTTTTCAGGATGATAAAGTTATTTGAACGGATGTGGTAGAGTGGCATAGAGAGAATTTTTTAAACAATGAGACAGTATTGCAAGGTCGTGGCTCACATTCTACAAGAGATGCTTTAAAAACATGCGGAAACTATGACATGAAACACAAGTTGTGGTTCTAGATTGTCTTGAGGCAGTGATGGAGAATTTTCCTACATAAATGTGATGTTGAGATCCAAGGCAACAGTGAACACATTGAGAAATTAAGATAAAGGTATTGACTGCTGATTAGGGCAACTCATGTTCCTTTCTTTTGCAAGGTATGGAAGGTTCAAGTAAAGTATATTAAATAATGCATCCACAAATTATTTTACGTGTAAGTTATTTTGAGAAGTTGGTGTAATGATAGTATAAATTCATACTTTGTATAGTGTCTCCCTAGTTTAAAGAACACTTTCTTATACGCTATCTTATTTGTACATCTGTGCAATAGATTTATTTGCTGCACTTTCACCCAAAGTCCCTTTGTGATTAGACCTGAAACATGAATCTGGGTCTTTTGACACCATATACTGTGTGCTTTTTGCTATTGTGCACTGCTTTAGGAGTGATGTTGCTGGAGCAGACCTCTGGGCTGAAGACCAGGCTCTGCATTGGAGTTAATTCTTTGCTTTCTTTGATCAGGTTTCAAGAGATGGACGTTTAAGGAGCCGAAGTGGAGCCCTTTTGCCTGTCTTAGTTATGGCTCTGTATGGAAGAGTGTTTGAGAAGGACCCTCCACGCTTAGGGCAGGGACCTGGGAAATTACAATGATCTCCTTCACCAGGGTCCTTTTGGGATTAGCCTGGCACAGAGAGGGAGAAAAAAAAGAAAGCCCTTAGTGTCTGTTTAGAAGAGATGTCGTAAACTTAATGAAACAATGAATAAATTTAAGAAAAGAAAAGCAATGGGTGTGTCTGCAAATTTTACATTTTGCATATGTGGTATGGCACAAAGTCATTTGTGGGAGCTGCATTCGTCTTCCATGTATGTGCATTTAAGTGTATATAAGTATGTATATGTATAGTGGAACATATATTTAAATGGGAGGAGGGCCTAGAAAATTTTTTTTTGCAGTAACTACTCTAATAAATGCAAATGTTGCTTCCAAAATGTGATGGTTTATTTTATGTCAGTTTGACTGAGCCCTAGGATGCCCAGATAGTTGGTTAAATATTGTTTCTGTGTGTATCTGTGAGGGTATTTCTGGAAGAGATTAGCATTTGAATTAGTGAACTGAATAAAGCAGAAGGCCCTCCCCAGCAGGGGTGGGTATCATCCAATCCCTTGAGGGCCTGATTAAAACAAAAAGGCAGAGGAAGGTTGAATTCATTTTCTGCCTGATTGCTTGAGCTGGGACATAAATCTCCTGTCCTCGGTGCTCCTGGTTCTCAGGTCTTCATACCTGGATTGTTATCCACACCACCAGCTCTCTGGTTCTCAAGCCTTCCAATTACCTCACTGGCTTTCCTGCATCTATAGCTTGCAGATGGCAGATTGTAGGACTTCTCAGCCTCCATAATTGTGTGATCTTATAATATATATTATGTATGTATATGTGTACATATATATATATGCCATTGGTTCTGTTTCTCTGGAGAACCCTAATAACTAATACACTTCATTTGCAAATATATAGGGAGAACTTGAATATGAAGAAAGTACTTTATTCCAGTCAATTATGATACAGGAAGTCAGAGCACAAGGGCATCTTTTTCAGTAATTATTTTTTTTTGGGGGGGGGGGTGCAGCCGGTCGGTAAAGTAATTGTGAATAACTTTTTAGCTAACTAAAATTATTACATTATCTCCTTATCATAACCTATTTGACTCTTGCGGTCTATTTGTATGGAAGTTAGATACTTGGAATGAAAATAAAAAAGAATTTTCTCCTTTAGATCACACCTCGTTTCTTTCTGAAATTATTCTACTCTAAAACCTACCCCATCCTGGTTAAGCCACCTTGCAGTACTCAGAGATTTGTTGCAGTCTGTGTTAGGGTGGGTGTTTCCTTAGAAAGGGCTGCCCTGTCACCTTTCACCCAGCTACCTTTGGTCCGTTTGCCTGACTCTCTGAGTCCTTTTTCTGGTTGGTCACTGATTAACTCTGGGAAGAGACACTCATGAGCGCAGGTGGGTTCTCTGGGATCGGGGGGGGCCTTTTTTTTTTAAAATTATAAAAAAAAAAAAAAAAATAGGGGTTTTTTGGGGGTGGGGGGGGGGGGGGGGGGGGGGGGGGGGGGGGGGGGGGTGAGTTGAGGATTGCTGAGTTTGGAGACACCTCTTATCTCCACAAAAATAATAACTGCATTTCTAGATTTTTTCCTAGATGTTTACTCCCACCCAGTATAATTCAAGCCCATACCAGAATGCAGAGACATTTGGGGCAGCAGAAAATGCCTTTGGTCTCCCCACACCCATTTTTCCTGAATTCTTTCTCCAGGGGCTATGACACTCAGATCCTAGAATTGTACCTGTGCCCTGGATTTCTCTGTTTGTGTGGGAAGTGGGCAGAGTCCCTCTTTATTGCCTAGTATTGGTTCCTGCTAGGCTTCTTTCTTTCTCTCCCTAGACAGTTGTTTGGAGGCTGTGTTATGCACCCTGGTGGCCCTGGCAATGTTGCAACCTCTCACCTCATGCACTCTTATGTAAGCCGACTTCTGTCCCCTCTCACTATTAGAGCGAACTTCAAAAGCAAGCCATATGGTTATTTCTTTTCTTTTTTTTTTTTTTTTTTTTTTTTTTTTTTTTTTTTTTAAAGATGACCGGTAAGGGGATCTTAACCCTTGGCTTGGTGTTGTCAGCACCACGCTCAGCCAGTGAGCAAACCAGCCATCCCCATGTGGGATCCGAACCCGGGGCCTTGGTGTTATCAGCATCGCACTCTCCCGAGTGAGCCACGGGCCGGCCCCATATGGTCATTTCTCAGCTCTTATTCTACATGACAAAACAAATAAGCTGCCCCTTTAAAGTTGTTTCACCCCTCATCTTTTCAAACCCCATGTTTTTTATTGTCTTTGACCTCTTGCCTCTCCTCCCCCCCCGCCCCACTTCTGATTTTACGTATATGATCTATGAATGAGGATCTCTGCTAGACTCTGCTCACACAGCTGTGTCTTCCTTATCTAAACTCTTTCTTTGGAGAGAGAAGCCACTATTATGGCTTCACCTAGTATTTCTGACACAGCAGAGATCAACTCACAGGTGAGCAAAAAAAAAAAAAAAAAAAAAAAAAAAAAAAATTCATGAGTGCCAGTTCAGGACACATAGTAATGTTTAGGGGCTACATTATAAGTGTGAAAACACTTTTGTTAAGTCCTATGGCAAAAATAATATAGTTTTACAATGTAAACAACTTTATCAGCTAGATTAATGTCAATAATAGAATTGACATGGTGTTGAAACCATTAAATATAATCTATAGGCATATATATACAGTATTTAGTAGTAACACAGATTCAAATCTGTAATCTTTTTATTATTATTTTTTCTTTTTAAAAGATGACCGGTAAGGAGATCTTAACCCTTGACTTGGTGTTGTCAGCACCACGCTCTCCCAAGTGAGCCAAGTAATCTTTTATCACACCCACATGTGTGCACACACAGATACACATATGTGTGCACAAGGCTCTTCAGAGGTCACCAAGGGAAGTGTGAGAGGCTGTGCCCACCCCACTCAGTCCTTGTTTTCCCCTCCTTTCCCCTCGTTTCTGGTTCTGTCTGCTTGAGCCAGGCAGGACATGCTCCCAAGTTCCTTTTGGGGAAAACGCCTGTATTTGTGTAATCACTGCTCTGTCAGCAAAGTTCAGACTATTGTGGATCTTGTCCCTACCATAGGCAGTGGAATGTCACATTTTCCTGTCAAGATGAAATCTGCTCCATCCATGCAGGTTGGGTTGGAGGGGTCTGGAGGTATTACTTCAGGCTTTTATCTACATTCAAAGTCATTTTGCTAGGTACAATTCCTCAGTCTCTACTGTCTACGAACAGAAGGGCTTAGTTTGTGGAACTTGGCAGGCTGCAGGTAGCTTATCAAAGGTGGCGTGGCATTAGGTATCAGGTGACCCAGCTCAGGGACTGTGGTAGAGCTGTTGGTGCCTCCCAGCTCTAGGGCCAACTGATGATACTGCACGGCCAGAGCTGCAATATTTCGTCTCTACACTTGCTCATGGCTGGTATGTGCGAGGTAATCCAGGCGTGCCAGATTCATGTCGTGGTAATGTAGGGGGAGGGAAAGGGTGATATAGTCCTATTCTTTAGTCTCAGGCGTTTAGTGAGCCTGTACTCCTGCTCTGTGACCTTGACAAGTGCTTCTCAGCCTTTTTTATCCACCCTTTTCTCCCACCCTAAGTTGGGACAAGCCTAAGCTAGAGCTGGGATTTTCCCCTCCCCCATATCAAAGATGACAGGCGCCGCAGAAGGAGCTTTCCCTTCCCCAGGGAGGTTAGGCTCTGATAAGATACTTTCTCTTGAGGGCAGGCTTTTTTTTTTTTTTTTTTTAAAAAAGAGAATAGAATTAAATGCTCTGGGCATATTTCAAAATGAGCATATTTCACCTCTCCCTGCAGAAAGCACGGGGGGATTTTTGCCCTGATTTTTGTCCGTTTGCCCTGGGAAACTGGTAGCGCTCCTGGCAGTAAAATGCGCAAAAGTGGGAGGGCTCCGCTCCTCCCCCTAGAGTTTTAACTCTCCAGGATGTCTACACTGAGCCTCCAGCCACTCATCAATCAGTTTAAGTGATCCTACTGGTACTGGCTCCAGCAGTGAGTGGACTCTGCTCCCGGTAAGCTTTTGTCCTCCGTATTTGCCTGTCTCTCCAATCTGGGGGGCAGCAGTTTGTCCTGTGACTCAATTCTCTGATGCATCTAAGAAAAGTTGTTGATTTTCAATTGTTCAGCATTTTTTTCTTGTTGTGAGGATGGGATAGACGACTGCCAAGCTCTTTACAAGTTGGACTTGAAAACTCAGTGGGAGGTTCTTATATAATATTTCCAACCTAGGAAGGTCAAAGAAGTGATTTTCTAACCCCTTAGTAATTCATTCCAGTTTTAACTTCTATGTCAGAGCTTCCTTTTAGAAAGTGTTATGTAACAATTACAACTTGCAAGGCAGGCAGTTTCCCCACCCACTTGGGCATGGAAAGTCCCTCAGGGCCAGCAAGCAGCCCGAGGGAGCTGATGTTTACTCAGGAGGTCCGGGCAACTGCCACCTCTGGGTTACTTTGGTAATCCCAGAATAAATTTATTACTATCACTGAAGTAAAAAAGCCCAGACATGCTCATTTGCAAATTGAATTATAAAAACACCATTCAAAATCAAATATACCTAAAAATAAAATAGCTAATCATAAACACTAATTCTGTAAATATTATACTTATTCACAACTGAAACAAAATTTGCCTACTTATTCCATATCAAAATCTATAAGCTCTTTCTCCATTTTATATTATTTTTCTTTCACTCCCTCTTTAGCTATTGTTTTCATTACTGGCTGGCTGTTAAGGGGATCCGAACCTTTGATCTTGGTGTTATGACACCACGCTGTAACCCACTGAGCTAACCGGCCAGCCTGTCTCTAGCCGTTCTTCATGCTTCCTCTCACTCTGTATCTTCCCTCTCATTGCCTCTGTTGTAAGCAGCCTCTAAGGCAGTCCTCGATGATTCCTGCTTCATTCATGCCCTTGTGTAATCCCCTCCCGTTGAGGTGTGGGCTGGACCTACTGACTGTGCTTTTAATGGGTAGAATACAACAAAAGCTATGAGGTGTCACTTTCCAGATTAGATTACAAAGAGAATGTCGCTTCCATCTTGGGGGGGGGGGTTCTCTTGCTCCCTGGCTCAGAGGGAATCCTGGCTCAGATGAGCTCCCCTGTGGTGAGGCTAGGAACGCCAGTCTCTGGGTAGCAGGTAAGGAGGTCCTGAGGCCTGCCATCAGTCATGTGAAGGAGTCTGGAGCTTGGAAATGAATCCTCCTTGAGTCAAGACTTGAGATAACTGTAGCCCTGGTAGCAGCTCAGTTGCAGCCTTTGAAAGAGACCCTGGGCCAGAGGCACTCAGCTAAGTTGCCTCTAGATTCCTGACTCACAGAATATGTGGGATAATGTATGTTTGCTTTTTGGAGCCACTAAATTTGGGGATAATTCATTATATCGCAATAGATAACGAGTAACTCATTTGTATTCCTCTTTGTCCTGGCTTCCTTATTTATTTATTTATTTTTTTTAAAAGATGACCGGTAAGGGGATCTCAACCCTTTGCTTGGTGTTGTCAGCACCACGCTCAGCCAGTGAGCGAACCGGCTGTCCCTATATAGGATCCGAACCCGTGGCCTTGGTGTTATCAGCACCACACTCTCCCGAGTGAGCCACGGGCCGGCCTGGCTTCCTTATTTTGAGGAAACTAAAGTCAATGAAAGTGTGGAGCTCGAATGTTTACGTGATGATAGTAAAAATAATTTCAAAATTGTAAAGCTATTTATTCTTCAAATTACATGTACTGCTATATGTTGAAGTTCTCACATATGAATTCCAAAAATTCATATGTTGAAGTCCTAACCACCAGTACCTCAATATGTGACTTTATTTGGAAATGGGCTCGTTTCAGAGCTAATTAGTTAAGATCAGGTCATAATGGAGATCTAATTAGTTAAGATGAGGTCATACTGGAGTAGGGTGGACACTAAATGTAATGACTGGTGTTCTTATCAAAAGGGGAAATTTGGACACAGACGCACAGCCAGGGAGAACATTGTCTGAAGAGGAGGGAGAAGACGGCCGTCTACAAGCCAAGGAGAGAGGTCAGGAACAGACCCTCCCCTCACAGCCCTCAGGAGGAACCAGCCTTGCTGACACCTCATCTGGGACATCTATCTTCCAGAACTGTGAGACAATACATTTTTGTGCTTACACCACCCAGTCTGTGGTTCATTGTTAGGCAACCTTAGCAAACTAATACCCACACAATCCCTGCTGGATCCCCACAAATCTCTACAATAAGGGAGGGTGTTTGTTGTCTAAGAATGGTGTGAAGCCATATGTTTCTTTTGTAATTTATTTTTAAGGTATTAAGTTCTGAGAACCACGTGATTTATTGTGCTTTCTCTCTATAAATTTTAGGGCAGGCTCTGTTTTTCAGCAGTCACTGGACTTTGGCACAATGACTTCTCAGTTTCTGGCTTATGTGGCAATTTCAGCTTTCTGTGTCTTAAAAGCCAGCTCCCTGGATACTTTCATTGCAGCTGTTTATGAGCATGCAGTGATATTGCCCAATGCCACCCTAACACCAGTGTCTCGTGAAGAGGCGTTGGAATTAATGAGCCAGAATCTAGATGTCTTGGAAGGAGCAATCACGGCAGCAGCAAAGCAGGTACCATCTCTGCCATCTCTGCAGTGTGCTGGGTTCTGTGAAAAAGGATGGGGTCTGAGGAGACAACCTCACTGTTCAGGTGGATTACACTTTTGGATAACATATATTTCAGGGTAGCTAAGAACCTTTGTTTTACAATTAGAATCCTATTTTCCTCTTGATTTTTAGTACAAGGACACTATTACATTTCCCAGACAGTGAGAACAAAGTGAAGAAAAGAACGGTTTGGTCATCATGAAGAACAGACCTTTGAGGAACTTGCTTTAAATTCAACAATTTTGGGGGCCGGCCCGTGGCTCACTCGGGAGAGTGCGGTGCTGATAACACCAAGGCCACGGGTTCTGATCCCATATAGGGATGGCCAGTTAGCTCACTGGCTGAGCCTGGTGCTGACAACACCAAGTCAAGGGTTAAGATCCCCTTACTGGTCATCTTTAAAAAAAAAAAAAAAATTCAACAATTTTGTTCTTCTTTTCTGCTACAGATGGAGGACAGAGGATAAATGGGTCAGGAACCAGGTGCTATTCTTAGAGCATGAGTGGCCTTGGTGTACTCTTGTTCTTTTAAGAGTTTGCACGTTTTCAGATAAGTTTGTAGCTGAAGACAATTAAGCTTAAGTTGCAAATTACTTACCAGTGTGTATTGCGTACTTTGTACTTTGTTTTAATTAAAAGATAGAAGGGTATATGTGAATGCATAGTAAGTCCTTGAGTTGAATAAAGGGTTAAGTTTAAAGCTAATCACACACTATAAACGTGTGGTTTGAATGAATATGGCTTAAATAAGACATTCACAGGTTAGGTATAAACCAAGATATAAGAAGTGTGATGAAAGTCATGGATACATACACATTACATGTATCTATCAATATATAGTATTATATATACTAAAGTTGGAAAGGTTATCAGGAGTTCTGATGTTCTTCTTCATTCTTAGTACAACTATTTTCTGAAAGACCATAGCAGAGGTGCCCAGGTTAGCTCAGGGAGTGCTTCAAGGCTTGGCATAGCTCGGGTAACCAGTGGGTGACCTCCTCGCCCCCCTTCTGAGGAGCAGGAATCATGTTTGCAGGGTATGGTGAAAGGAAGGCTGGAACGGAGGAGGAGGTAAACAGAGAATTTGAGTTATAAATCAATCCTGACACTGTCAGACACAGCCATCTCCCAAAGTTCAGGGAGAGGGGTGATTTTGGGAAGAGCTGGATTTATAGTTAATAACTGCCATGGGTGGCAGAGCTGTGAGTGACGTGAAAATTTATATTAATGTTTATGAGAGAATGAAAACATATAGGGATGATGATGGCAGGATGAGAAAACTAAAGTGCTTGGGAAAAGAAAATAAATTATAAAAATATAGAAAACAAAGGAATAAGAGTAAAAGGGGGGTGGGAAAGCCCAAGTGGTTGTTACTCAGCCACTCAGTTCCTCAGTTCCTTTTGCAGATTCTGTCTTTGATTATTTTCCCATTTGAGAAATATTTTACTTAAACTACATATTTTAACAGGGTGCACATATTATTGTGACTCCGGAAGATGCTATTTATGGCTGGAACTTCTCCAGGGAAACTCTCTACCCATACTTGGAGGATATCCCAGACCCTCAAGTAAACTGGATCCCCTGTAATGATCCTAACAGGTAAAGAGACAGATTGTGAAAAATTCAGTCATGAACCTCAACTTGTTTTACCTGGGAAAGCTTTGTTGATGATCATTGCATAGATGCACTATCAGCTCTATTTTAAAACAGTTTATTTTTCTTCTACTATGGATATATGTATTAGGAAAGTGAATATGAATAATGAAATCCCAGAAATCAGTGCTGAAAGGTAGCGTAGATATCATCCCATTCAATGTGAATACCTCTCCATGGAGAGAATGCGTCTGGAAAGCTGATAGCATAATTTGCACAGGGTCACAGGGGTGGTTAGTTAGTAGAGAACAAGATCTAAACTCTTGTCTTTGATTTCTTGCCACTGAACAGAAAAATACCTTCCTGTGTAACTCTGTAATTTGAAAACTGTGAGCAAATGGCAAAATTGAGTCTCATGTTAGTTTAGGATTAATAATTTTCCTTTCCCTTTGGTAAAATATCTGATGAAGTTAATGTACTAAAATCTTTAAAGTTTAAGCTGATAACCGAGGAAGTGATAGAGCAGAACTATGTAAGTTCAAATCAGGTTTAAACTAAAGAGACATGAAGTACAATGAAAGCAGCACTGTTAATCTTAATGTAAGCAAACCAGTATCTTATACACCTAAAAAATCTCTCGTCGGTTAACACACTACTTTCCCAATGCACCATGGCTAAAAGGAGTCATCTTTTAGAAATGTTCTCAACACCACACAAACCAACTACTGTAACTGCTTATAGAGATAGCCTAATTCTGACAAAATTTAATATTATTTATCTTAATTGTTGCTTTGCGTTGCTTTGCCCCCCACGGATTTGTCACCCCCCATCCCCTGGGTGACGGAGATGCAAAGGATTACTCAAAGCCCATCTCTACTGAGCAGTGAGAGGCCCCGAAGTGGTTAATCTCCCTGGCAATGCCCAAGTGAGAGCCAACCCTTCCATTTGGGAAACTAACGCCGAATTGGGGTTCTCTTCCTGCATTTATTTTCTGGACCAGGAAGTTACAGGAAGAGAACAAAGATGGGGTTATAGTTTAACAATATAGGCTGGTAACTTTCAGTGAAACAAGCCAGATGACATTCCAGTAAGGCAATTAAGTGCTCCTATCAACAACAGTTTGATCTTAGCAAACATTCCTTCGCCAGCAACCTGCTGTGCCACAATTCTTATCTTGCAACTGAAACTTATAGCCTGAGGGAAATTTCCTGTCCTTGCAAGGTCAATATTTGAAACTGCAAGGCTTTGGAAAAACAGGCCCTGTGAAGTACAAATGCTTTTTAGTATATTCCACACTTAACCATTTCCCTTTATTCACGTTTCATTGTATCATAAGTATTCCTCATATCTCCCATGCCAGAGCTTCAGTTTCTAAAAGGTAAGAACTCTATTGTCACTTCCATTGTGAATTGAATTGATTTGTTTCTGAATGGCCTTCCCTAGAACCAAATTTCCAAGGTTCTCCTGAATATCCCCACAAAGATGTCCCATCAGCTCCGTTTTGAGGAGTCTGGTTGCCCCTTCATGTTTTACATCAACTAATGACATCTCTATTTCTTGTCTTAATTCATTCATTTCTATAATTTTTTTAAGTACCTGTTGTATCCAGGCACTGTTCTGGGCAGTAGGGTGAACCAAATAGATTAAAAATCTCTGTCTCCCTGAGTTTTATATTCTAGTGTGGGGAGATGGTAAATTTTAAATTTTTATTGGTTTATTTACTTCTTGGCAGGTGGCTGGTACAGGTATTGAATCCCAGACCTTGGTGTTGTCAGCACTTTATTAACCAACTGAGCTAGATAGCCGGTCTGGCACATTTTTTTAAAAAGATAATCATCTAGCTATCTAGCTATTTATCTTTGTCTATGTATCTATCATCTATCTATGATATGAGATGGAGATAAGTGTTATGGAGAAAAATAAAGCAGAGAAGGTGACTCTGGTGGTAAGCATGGGGCTGAGATTTTTAATAGGTTATCAGAGGGCTTCACATTGACATTTCAGAAAAAACCTGAAGGAAGTGAGGGACTAGGTCATATGGGTTTTTGAGAAAAGAGCATTGCAGACCAAGGGAATTCCAAATTCCAAGATCCTATAGTCAGAGTCTGTGTCTGGCATATTAGGAACAATGAATAGGTAAGTGAGGTTGAAGTAATGAGAGGAAGGGGAGAAAAGTATGTGGTGGAGGCAGATAGGTGGGAAGAACTTGATTGCATAAGGCTTCATGGAGTGTAATGACTTTTTGCTTGAGGGAGAAGGTAGCCACTGGGGAGTTTTGAGCAGAGAAGTGACATGCCCTGACTTGTTTTATGAAGGTCACTTGGGCAGCTATGTAGAAAATAGACTCTAGAGGGTAGGTCAACAAAAGATGGGACAGGCAGAGAGATGATGTCTTAGCCCAGGATGGTAGAAGTTTAGGTACTGAGAAATGGCCAGATTCTGAATCAAGTTTGAAGGTATCATGGACAGGTTTTGCTGAAAGATTGGATGTAGGATGTTAAGGGAAAGAGAGGAGTCAAGCTCTTTTCCTCCTCACAGACAGTCAAATATCACATCTTGTTCAGTATGTTTGATATATCCACAAAGTCAATTGCATTCTTTTCTCACAGTCACCCACCTTTTTGGCCCTACATTTCTCTTTTTAATTTAATTTTTTTATTTAGCATTTATACTTCACACGGTTCTAGAAGGATTTGAGGTTCCTTATTATATATAATATAATTAAAAAATAGGACAGTTTAGTTATAAAAACAAACTAGAAGTCATATGAATAAAGTAGAGGAAGTAGTTGTTACAAGGCATCATGGTGGTGAGCTGATCATTACAATTGGACATGAAGTATAGCTCTGAGAGTTTCTGGGAGGCAAAGAGAGAAATAATTTAGCTCAGAAGATTTCATTGACTCATAGAAGAAAGCTCACAGATTTCTTGAGAGACAAACTATGTCCGATAATCTAACTCAATGATGAATCTATTTATTCAAAATTTTTTCATTAATTACTTCTTATACCAGGCACTGTACTTTGAGAGTGTGTAGGTAGCATCATTTACTACAGTGAATGCCTGCACCTATGATCAAGGTGATCTGGTTTACAGATTAAAACAGTCATTCATTCATTTAATAAGTTAAAAAAAGGCTTGTCCAGTTAGCTAGCCCATATGAAAAAGTATTTTGATATTTGAGCACATATTAATTTATACTATTATTTCAGGGGGTTGTATGCATACATTGTTTCTCCAGCAAGACTAAATGCTTTTTAAGCACAACAGCCGTGTCTGATACTTCTGTGTTTCCTACATTCTGTATTTGGACAGCTCTACCTGGAATGTCCTTTCCCCAGATGGTCACATGCCTAGCATGGTCATATGCCCAGCACATGTTGAATATTTAATGTGCACTTATTTTAAGTTGGTTAATGTCTTCTTCAATAACTGATGATTTTTGTTATACCTAGTGATTGAACATTTTGAAAGCAGTCTTAGAAAATGCATTTTTTTTTTTAAAGATGACTGATAAGAGGATCTTAACCCTTGACTTGGTGTTGTTAGCACCATGCTCTCCCAAGTGAGCTAACCAGTCATCCCTATATAGGGATCCGAACTCGTGGCCTTGGTGTTATCAGCACCGCACTCTCCCAAGTGAGCCACGGGCCAGCCCTAGAAAATGCATTTTAATTATTCTGTTTCACCTCCTTCTTCTGTTCCCAGGTCAAAGCGCTTCTGTCTCCTACTACTTTAAGGACTTAGCAAATATATGGATGAAACCACAAGCAGATTTCAGGCCCACATAAGTCAACTGCATTTTAAAACTCCACATCAGGACATGTAATCTAACAAAGAATTTTGGAGCATTTTCTGTGTCTAGAAAACAGTCTGAGAAATGTAGTTTAAGTAGAAATATATTAAAAAATATAGTGCACTTTCAAGATTAATAAAGACAATAGGAAAGTATGTTTGTAATCAGAACTGTCTCAGAAATCCAAAACACTAGGCTTCTATTTTATATATCTACTTGAGATAACTAAGAAGTCGTGGGGTAAATATGTTTCAAATGGTTCAGTGTGTTGTATTTAAATCTGTGCATTTCAGATTTTAATCAAAACAAATGTGGGAAAAACTATCAAGTGGCCATTCTTTATTATAAATATGTTAAAATAATGATTTTCTAGATGTGTTATCCTATCCCTCTTGATCTTTTTCAAGGATATGTTTTGTAGATGATTGCTATGATTTTGCTTATATTAATTGTATAAATTTGTTTGTAGATCTAATGGCCAAGATTTGGTATTTAAAGAAAGCTTTTCATTACTATTTGCTAGAAGATAGCACCAAATTTTCATTCATCTAACAGATATCTCAGCCTTCTTAGGTATTTTTCAATGACCTAGGGTACACCATTTCTCATCTCAGGGCTGTACAATAGAGATAACTATGGCTCTATATTAAATATTCTAAGGTCACACTTTTCTTTTTTTATAATATATATATATTTATTAATTTCAGTGTCAATTGGTAAGGAACAAATTTAACACAAAGATCAATGTCCTTAATGAAAAAAAAACTCTTAAAAGTAAATTAGAAAAATCTAAGCAGAAACTTGATGAAGGACATGAGCAGATAAGTTGCATGCCCTGTAGAAACACTCATGTCTATAAGTACACTCTAGGATGTTGTTGGTGGGGAGTGAGAAAGGGGGGTGGGGCTAAGGCCCTGGGACCCCCATCTCAGGGCCCCTGGGGCTTTTGGTTCCAGCTCCATGGTCAGCCTGGTTGTGCTATGGTGGCAGTGGGCAAGGCTGAGGCCCTTGGCTACTGCTTTCATTTTCAGGGCCCTTGGGGTGAATGACTTGGCTCCCGTGTGGTCACTGGGCTTGGATCACTCTCACTTTTCAAAATTGCATTTTAATTTCTTTTGGGGCAACTACTGGAAACTGATAAAGAATATAGAAATCAAACATTAGGAAATCTTCTAGTATTTTCACTATTCTGTATTGGCTGACACTGCCC